TCCACTGGCCTTGGCCTCCCAAATTGCTGGGATTACAGGTGTGAGCCACTGCGCCTGGCTGTTGAAGAGTTTTTTAAAAAGAATGTTCAGTTCACTTATTAGGCATCAACTCTGTGCTGGATACTAGAGTCTAGGGTTATAGTGGTAAGAAATATCAGACATTGCTCCTGTACTCAATATCAAAGGGGTAAGACGACAATCAGGTGAATATAGTCAGGCGTGATAAGGGCTATAATAAAGGCAATTACAGGGTGCCATGTTGGTGCCAGCAAAGCTAACTAGGCCAAGAAGGCCCAGAGAAGGCTTTTATGTACAACTAACAGTTATTGAGGATTTAATATGTTCCAGACACCATTCCACGAGCTTTACATTTATTAATTTAATCCTCACAACAAGTCTATGAGAAATTTGTATTATTATCATCATCTCCATTTTACAGTCAGAGAACTGAGGTACTGAAAAGTTACGGTGGAGGTAGGATTTAAACCCAGGCAAGGTGGCTCCAAAGCCTGTTCTCCTTACCACCGCAACTGTACTAAGGCTTTTTGGAGGAATTGGCCTTTCAGCAGAAAACCTAAGGATGATTAATTGGAAGTTAGTTGGGCAACAGGGAAAGAGGTCCTCTAGGCAGAGGGAGCAATGTGTGGGAAGCCTGGACGTCTGAGAGAGCAGGGCAAGTTCCAGTATCTGAAAATAAGGCATAAATGGAGTGAGGGATATATGGTTCAGGAGGTAGATCAGGCCATAAAATAAACGCGTGATAAACCAACCTAAGGAGTCTAGTTTACCATATCCAGAGGGGGCAGGAAGCAATGGCAGTGTTTTAAGCGGGGGAGGATAACATGTTAGATTTGTGTCATGGAAAGATCACTGAGAGACATGGATTGGAGGGAAGCAGAATTGGAGTTCGAGACAAGCTGGGTTGGGAGACTGTTGTGGTAATAGAGGAGAAGGATAATAACCTGCACTAGGATATTGGTATTGACGATGGAGAGAGTGAATGGATTTAGGAGTAGCTCTCTTTAGAAGGAAGAATTGTTATGACTTTAATGGTTGGTTAGATGCAAGGTTGAGGAAAAAACCCAGAGGTAGTTCTCTGATCGTGGTTTGGGCAGCTTGAAGTCTGGAGAAGCAGCAGCATGGGGAAGGGGTTGGAGAAACAGGGAGAACACAAGTTAAGGTTTGAATTTGCTCAGTTGGAAAGTGTTCGATGAGACAGGCAAGTTAAGCACTTAGATATACGGATGTAACCTAATTATAAGTCTAGCACTTAGGAAAGAGATTTGAACCCTATTTGAGATTTATATATATATATATATATATATAAAATATTTGAGTCATTCTTCTATAGGGGTTAAATTAAGCCATGGAAGGCAGAAGGGAGTAGTCAGTAACTTCAAACATTGCTGAGATAACAAGTAAGGTAAAACCTGAAAAGGATCTGTTGGTAATTTGAGTGAGGGCAGAAACCAGATGCAAATAATTGAGGAGTGAATGAGAATGAGGAATTAGAGAAGCTAGAGTGGAATGTGGGACTGTGGCTTTTTATAAAGCGGGATTGCTGAGAATGGAGAGCCTCAATCATGTTTAAATGTTGATGAGAGGGAACCAGGGTAAAGGGAGAAGCTGGAGATGTTACTGGGAAGTGCAGATTACGGAAAGTCTCTGAGTGGATTCAAGAAAGTGGAATCTGGATCCCAGACAAAGGGATCAGACCCAGGAGAAAGGACCCACAGCAGCTTCCATTGTGATAGAGCAAGGACAGGAATTGTGATAGGGCAGGGACAGGAATTTCTATGTTGAATATCAGGAAAGGAAAGCAGGTCCCCTCTGATGGCTTCAGTTGTCATTGTGAAGTAAGAGGTGAGGCTGCCTTCTAAGAGTAGGGGGCAGAATGTGTTGGTGGTTTAAGAAACATCAGGAGGCAGGCACGGTGGCTCATGCCTGTAATCCCAGCACTTTGGGAGACCAAGGTGGGAGAATCGTCTGAGCCCAGGAGTTCAAGACCAGTGCGGGCAACATACTAAGACCCTGTCTCTACCAAAAAAAAAATAAATAAATAATTGGCTGGACATGGTGGTGTGTACCTGTGGTCCTAGCGACTTGGGAGGCTGAGATGGGAGGAACGCTTGAGCCTGGGAGGTTGAGGCTGCAGAACGCTGTGATTGTGTCAGTGTACTCAATACTGGGTAATAGAAGGAGACCTTGTTTCCAAAAAAAAAAAAAAAAAAAAAAAAATAGAAGAGAAACGTCAGGAGAGGATATTTGAAATCATTGCTGTGGAGGGTAAGTGTGAGTGCCAGCAAGGAAGTCGTGGTAGCATTGCTAGGCAGTTTTGAGGGCCCAGGTAAGGCTGGTGACTGAGAATTTATGGGTGGCATGGGCCTGCATAGTTAATTTTTATTTAAATAGCAGTGTTTGAAGAGATTGAGATTCCTTTTGAGGCAATTACCTCATTAAGTATTTCAGTCTTTTATCTTCAAATGTTTAAGATTTTGGCTCCTTTTCCTCCCATAACTACTGTTAAAAGAGGATCGATCCTAAAGTGTAGAGAGGCAATGGGTTATAAAATAATACAATGAAAATTTGTTTCCTTTAAAACCTTTTCAGTAATGGACATGTACTTTTTACTCTTTAGTCATGTTCTGTACTACTCTTCTACTACAGAATTTTTAGAGCAGGAAAAGAGGTCTTTTGAGATCATATTTTTCTTTTTGACCAGTGCTATTTTTTTTTTAAGCACGAGAATGTTTGCCAAGTGAAATCTTACAGGAATGACCCATGTATAAAACAGCTAAAAATGATGGTGCTTTGATGTGCAATGGTAATTAGGAACTCAAATTCGGGAGTCAGACTACCTGGACTTAGAATAACCTGACTCTGCATCCTACCTGTGTAGCTGCTAAGTTCCAGTTTCCTCATCTGTGAAGTCAGAGTAATACTAGAACCTCCATCATAGACGTTCTAAAAAAAGTGTCTCAAAAAAACAATCTCTAAGAGTTTTAAATAAGATACTGTGTATAAAACTGCTTCCTACAGTGCATGCCACTGCACTTTGGCCTGGGTAACAGAGGGAAACTGTCTCAAAAAAAACAATCTCTAATCTGATTCATCCTCCTAAATTTGCAGATTATCTTTAGATTATAGAATAACATTTTAAAGGTTGCAGGCCAATTTCTTCTGCTGTAGGTTCCACACAACCGTTGTTACTGAATTAAGCCACATAACCATGCCTAGATACTATAGCTTCTCTCTGGGTGGTATCTGAGAAATGGAATGTAAAACATTGAATTAGGAGGAAGTTTAATATTTTAAAAATTATAAAGGAGTCAATAAAATAGAGTACCTTCATAATGCATATGCCGCTTAGTAAAAATCGATCAGATAGAAGGTCTGAGTGGGTTCCTAAATATATTCTTTTTTGTTGTTTATGCTTATAAATCTAATTTTGATAAATCTTTTAAAAATTATATATAATCTCCAATTGGAAGTTCTAAAAGCTTGATAGCTCCTTAGGATAGCTACTTAATTTATCTTATGATAGAACTATAATTTACAGCAAATATGGGCCTTCTGCCACCAAATCTTGGATTTATTCTTCAAATGGTGATGGAAATCTCATAATTTTTATGGTAAATGATATATGAAACATAATCAAAAATATGATGTCTGATATATATTGGTAATAAATAGCTTGTTACTGGCAATTCTTGTGAAATGTGATTTAAATAATAAATTATACCACTGGGTCTTATTCCAAAATATGGTGCTCTTCCAATAAGAAAAGAAAGGGTACCACATAATTAATTCTACAGATGTACGTTGGAAAAGATGTTTGCACTTGATTCTGGGGATACAAAATATGAGCAGGCATCGTATTTGCTTTCTAAGGACTTTCATTTCATTCCAGGAATTGTCCTGACTTCCCTTCAATTCATACCCTCCTTTTAAGTTTCCAACTCTGGGTAAATTTCATGCTATGCTTTCTTCACTCCAACTCCAGAGCTAAGGTTATTGCTGAATTAAGCCACACAGTCATGCTATTTGATCCACAGTTCCTCTTTTTCTCATTTTTCTTTGCTATTTTCCATAAGAATCGTTCCAGGATTTTCTTTTTCCTCATGCCCATGATGCCATTCTTCATCTTCTCATATGATAGGAGCACCTGAACTTCCTTCCTTCCTTCTATTTCATGATCTGTAGCCTTCAACATTTTGGATCTCTTCGTTGTTTAAAAAGCCCTGTTCTCTTTTGTAATTGTTTGTCTGTGAACAAGTCTAATTTCCTGTGAAATATTTGAGCACAGGGACCATTCTTGTTCATCTTTGTGTTTGAAATTATTCCACATGACCGTGAACGAATAGTCTACATTAGATAGGGCTGGATATTCGTTGGTTCCAAGATACTGTCTGCAGGCTTCTTTTTTTGAATTCAGAAGCATATTTGAACAGTCAAAACCTGGCAAAATTGCTGTTTAGTGTCATATTTTAAAAACATATATCCATTATCAGTTATTTTGGAATTGAATGCATTTTGACCGAAGCAATAGGCATCAACGTTGGTGACTGATTTCAAACCCATTATTTCTGATTATATGGTACTTCTTAGTACAGTATGTAACCAAATGTAATTGGTAGTAGAATTTGACCAGTTCCTAGTTAGGTAGTTAATATGTTCTTTCTAAGGAATTTACATTTAGGTGTATAGTAGTTTCTTATCAGATGTAGATTAGTGGGAAAATTGTTTTGAAGTAATTAACATTTTTCATAACAATAGAAGGCTAATTTGTATTCTTATTTTTATTAGGTAAGAACATTAGTAGTACAGTAATAGACACAAATTGCTAGATTTTTGCTATTGAACAAGTATTTTATAAATTTATACAACAGTATTGTGTACAGGATAGTTTTTTTAAAAGCATATGCGCTTAACAATTAGAGTAAAAGAAAAAAACCTGTGATAACATTCTTTACTTTTTTTCCCCTCTTTTCTCTTTTTAGGCCTCACTGCTACGATTTCAGAGTACCCTGGTAATAGCTGAACATGCAAATGATTCCCTAGCACCCATTACTTTAAATACCATTACTGCAGCCAAACGTCTTGGAGGTGAAGTGTCCTGCTTAGTAGCTGGAACCAAATGTGACAAGGTGAGAAATTTTTCAGGTCAGCCATAGCAAATATAATCTCCATTAAGAGACAGGAAAAGATGGCAACAGAGAATTATGCTGAGGACTGTAACCCAAACTGGGCTCTAATCCTCATTAAATGGCCAGTGTCACAACCATTACCATGTGTGAAAGAAGAACTAAAAGGTTTGCTCACTGAGCATTTTATCTTTTGAAATGAGGTAGAATACGTGATTTAGTTCCATTGGCACCATCATGTGCCATCAGGTACCAAGTTGAATGATAATATTTGAGTCCCCTTAGAGGTTAATAGCTGATCCCTTTTTTGTGTTGATGAATATACTTGCTAATTGCTTCTAATTCCTGAAAGTGGTAAATCTGGACAAAGTATTATGGATGTTAATTTTTAATTGGTAGAAGAATTTGAATGTTAAGTACTCTTCTTTCCAAACCCTAGCTGGTACTAAAAGATGTTTTTTTGTTATTGTAGAAATCAGATGGTAAGAGCTTGGGATACCAACCCTCTAGAAAGGTGCTGTGCCAGTGGGCTGCAGTGTAGATGAGTGCTTCCAGTTAAGCTTACACAGCTTGAGCCACCAGTTCCCTCTCACATGGTGTAGGAGTTGCTGAGTGTGTAGTTGGGGGCTTACACTTCACAGAGGAGTAAATCTGGAGGGAATACGTTTTGAGGATTTTATGTTTTATTAAATAATTGATGCTGTTCGGGCATGGTGGCTCATGCCTTTAATCCCAGCACTTTGGGAGGCTGAAGTGGGTGGATCACTTGAGGTCAGGTGTTTGAGACCAGCCTGGGAAACATGGCAAAACCCTGTCTCTACTAAAAATACAAAAATTAGCCGGGCGTGGTGGTGTGTGCCTGCAGTCCCAGCTACTTGGAAGGCTGAGGCAGGCGAACCACTGGGTGGCAGAGGTTGCAATAAGCAGAGATGGTGCCGCTGCACTCCAGCCTGTGTGACAGAATGAGACTCTGTCTCAAAAAATATATTTTAAAAAAATGCAGAGCGTGTGATAATGCGGGTTCATACTGCTGGTATTGCTTCTGTCAAATTTTTTACATTAAATTGATATCTTGAACATATTCTGGCGGGTTTATGATTAGTTATGTGGATTTCTTTACCTGCTTCCTGCTAACAACTATAGACTCTTACATAGTTGATAGCCACAGTGTATGATGTGTGGTGATTCAGCTGTCTTTTCTTATTTCTGTATTAGCCACGGTGTGTGATGGTAAGCTGTCTTTTTGGTTGCCCTGTTTTTGGATATATATGAATTTTGATTTGTTGTTTGTTTTGCTGTGATTTAAAATAATTATTGTAATAATACTTTTAAAATATTTTGATGCTTTATACTACTTTGAGAAAAATCAAAATAGAAATTATCTTCTGTACTCAGTTTCAATCTTAACCTGTCAGGTTCTAATTTTAAAGAAAACAATCAGTACCTGTATAAAAAGATTGTTAATACAGTTCAGTTTTATACCATTTTATTCAGCTATTTGTCATAAACAGCAAGTTATTCTTCTGTATAATGTCAGAGTTTTTGCCAGTAAAAACAAGATAATTTCAATGGGAAAATTCTGTCCCATTTTCTATCCCAGGTTGCTATGCAGCTACATTGCAATTAACTGGGTTTCTTAATTGGAAATTCTCTTAAAGTTTGAGAAGCTAAGTACAGCTGCATTCACAATGAAGGTCTCTGTAGTATAAAATGGTATGCCCGTGAACACTTGGCTTAGCAGAGTATTTTTGCACTGCATCCTTTCTTCAGTGAATATTGTTTCATGTGAGGGTGGCAGAAGGCACAGCCTTTTAATCCTACTCATCAGTGAATCAATGAATCAGTTTGGGGTAAAAAGGAGACAGAAGATGATAATATGACTGATATGATTTTGCTAAAGCAGAAACCAACCATGATGTAATAAAGATACTTAAAAAGGAGAAATCTAATTACCTTCTGAATATAGAAAATCTGAGTGGTCAAAAAACTTTCTCAGAACCCCATTCTGATTCCAAACAGGAAAAATGAAGAATTAGAATAGCAATATTTTGCTTTGTCATAGATAAATATATGTATGTGGGCAGGAACTCAGTGTTGACAATGGGATATTACTAAGATAATTTCATTTTCACCATTTCCAAGATATTGAATTTACACTTGGATTGGACTAAAGAGAAAAGCACAATTTATAACTAAATTTGAATAAAGAGCCATGTTGATTTTGGTTTGTCAATTAGCACTTTTCTTTTTGAACACAGGAATTTTTGTTTGAAATGCTTGGTTAGTGGGAGAGTGTAAGGTCAGTGAGTAGTAAGATCAATTGGCATTAGATTTTCTTTGTTAAGGAATATATTTTAATTCTTTTTTTTGAGATGGAGTTTTGCTTTTCCACCCAGGCTGGAGTGAAGTGGCACAGTCTTGGCTCACTGCAACCTCCGCCTTCTGGGTTCAAACGATTCCCTTGCCTCAGCCTCTCGAGTAGCTGGGATTACAGGTGCCTGCCACCATGCCCAGCTAATTTTTGTATTTTTAGTAGAGATGGGGTTTCGCCATGCCAACTCCTGACCTCAGGTAATCCGCCTGCCTCAGCCTCCTGAAGTGGTAGGATTACAGGTGTGAGCCTCTGTTCCTGCCTGGAATATATGCAAATTCTTAAGTGGCCCTTTTGCTAATAAGAGTAATTTTTACAGTTGGCCATTAAGATTTTATGATCTGTTAATATTTATAGTGATGGCTCTATTTGTGTATTTCTGATAGATGGATAATTAGGAACTTATCTTTTAATCACAGGTGGCACAAGATCTCTGTAAAGTAGCAGGCGTAGGAAAGGTTCTGGTGGCTCAGCATGATGCGTACAAAGGCCTACTTCCAGGTGAGGCTTTTCAGTGGAAAAAATATGGTGTCTAAATTATGTTTGAATATATGAATATGAAAATATTCCAAGATATTTTTTATCAAATGTGTTTAATTCTCAGAGGAACTGACACCATTGATTTTGGCAACTCAGAAGCAATTCAATTACACACACATCTGTGCTGGAGCATCTGCTTTCGGAAAGGTGAGAAGATTGAGAATGTGGACTCTGATGTCACTACTTAAAAGGGTTAGATTTCATTGTGCTGAAAGTGTACACCAGACTGTTTAGATAGCCAATCTGGATTTATCTGAATTTATGTGGTAGTTTTGCTAAAATTTATTCTTTCAAGATTTTGTCATAATTTTTTGTTTAAACTACCGTTTCCAGGTTTTCAAATCGTGTTGCGGAGAAAACTCTAATTAGGCCATTATTTAAAAATTATCTGTATTTAAAAGGAATGTTGAATTCTGTTTGCATGTGAGAGTGAGAGAGCGAACGAGTGAGAGTCATTTGTATTAGCAGCCATTTTAAGAGATGATTTATTTGGGTGGCTGATGGATATCTAGAAAAACCAAATTTTATCTCTGTGGGGAATCTGGAAAGGGCTGTGTGGTGGTTGAAGATATCCTTAAGATAAAGCTGTAATCTGTGCTGGGCATGGTAGCTTACACCTGTAATCCCAGCACTTTGGGAGGCTGAGGCTGGTGGCTCATGAGGTCAGGAGTTCAAGACCAGCCTGGCCATCATGGTGAAACCCTGTTTCTACTAAAAATACAAAAATTAGCCGGGTGTGGTGGTGGGAGGCTGAAGCAGAGAATTGCTTGAACCCAGGAGGCAGAGGTTGCAGTGAGCCAAGATGGCACCACTGCACTCCAGCCTGGGTGACAGAGTGAGACTCTTTCTCAAAAAAAAAAAAAAAAAAAAAAAAAAAGAATAAAAAAATAAGATGTACACAAATACATCCTTATCAGGAGGAATGCATGTAGTACAGCAGTATGCAGAGCAAGGTATCAGAGTCCTGCTTTCTTATTCCCGACTCACCCTTCCCTCTTTAGGAGTATAGCTGTTAACAGTTGTACATTCTTTTAGGCCTCCTTCTATGGATTTTTAAATTACAGTACACGTACAGCTATATATTTTTTACTTCTAAAATGGAATAATATGGCGTGAATTGTTTTGTGACTAGTAGCTTTTACTTAAGAGTGTGACTTGGGCAGGATGTGGTGGCTGACGCCTGTAATCCCAACACTTTTGGAAGATTGTCTGAGCCCAGGAGTTCTCGACCAACCTGGGCAGTACAGTGAGACCTCATCTCTACAAAAAAAAATATATATATATATATGAAAAAAAATTAGCAGAGTATGGTGGTGCATGCCTTTGGTCCCAGCTACTTGGGAGGCTGAGGTGGGAGAATTGCTTGAACCCAGAAGGTTGAGGCTGCAATGAGTTGGGAACACGCCACTGTACTCCAGCCTGCGCTGCAGGATGACAGAGCAACACCCTGTCTCAAAAAAGAGTATGACTTTGGCTCATGATGTGTTCTCTTTTTTTTTTTTTTATGGCTGCATAAGATTCCATATTTAGCTAAGGACAGTTAACTTGTTTCCAATTTTTTGCATTTATATACTTTGCGGCAAGAAAACATGCTTATGCATGCATCTGTGTACACATGGGCTGGAATTTATTTACACTAGAATTCTAGAAGTGAAATCACGGAGTCAAAAGCTATGTGCTTTAAAAATTTTGATGCCTATTGCTTAATTGCCAACACTTGGTACTATACATTTTAACATTTTTTCCCGCAATCTGATGGGTGAAAAAATCTTTGTGGACCATTCTGTCTCTGAGTTTTGATTCTATATTGGATGATTTAAGTAATTTCATGAACCTTGAATTCCTTTCTGTGATGACGGTTCACCTAACAGATTGTTAGACCACGAAAGGGTGTCTGTCATTAGCTAGATTTTAGTACTCTGGCCATGATTGCTATGTTGTGACAGATGGGAGTTTCGAGAATAAGGGTCACATAATAGTGGCTGGTCCTGTGGCCTGTAAATGGGTTTGGAATGAGAAACGTCTATCAGAAGAAGCCAAACAATTTGCTGTATGATAGTCCACCACCAACTGTGGTTTTGAGATAACACACTTTTATACTTGTCTGCTAGAATTTAAAAATATGCCATTTTTTTGTGCACAGAAACACAATAATAGTTATTGCTTCTCCTTCCCAGAAACCATGCAGGCAGTCTGTTGGATGGGATATATTTTTAATAGGATAGATATCTGTGTACCATCCACCCTTAGGACATTTAGATGGAAGACCAGATCCAGGAAAACATACTTTTAAGCACCATGGTGAAATTTATTGACGATATGTTAAAACAACAAATAATGAAAATAAAAATGACTTTTAATTTTGAGCAATTTAGAAAGTTATAAACTTTAAAAAGAGGCAAAGTCTGCGTAACATGAAATTTGTAAGAGCATCTGTTCAGCCAAGTAACTATTTCAGTAATAATTCCTGAACAGTTAAAGAAGGTGGTTCAGGAGGAGGGTTACTTACTGAAGCAAGCTTGAAATACTGACAGATCTGGTTTTTAAACCAGATAAAGTAGGTGCTTCAGGATGGGCATGGTGGCTTATGCCTGTAATCCTGGCATTTTGGTAGGCCAAGGCAGGAGGATCAGTTGAGGCCAGGTATTCTAGACCAGCCTGGACCATAAAGCAAGACCCTGTCTCTACAGAAAAAAACAAAACATAAAAAAAACGAGCTGGGTGCAGTAGCGTGTGCCTGTAGTCCTAGCTATTCAGGAGGCTGAGGCAGAATAATCTCTTGAGCCCAGGAGTTTGAGGTTACAGTGAGCTATGATCACGCCACTGCAACTTAACAGCATGAGACCCTGTTTCAAAAAAAAAAAAAAAAAGAAGAAGAGGTAACTGAGACATGGGAGACTATGACTTACCTAAGGATTCCTGCTACTGAGGACAAAGCACATGCATCTATTTCCGTTGCTTTTTAGATGTGTACTACACAGGCTGTTCTTCAGGTTAGTATTATTATTTTACTTTTTTTTTTTTTTTGAGGCAGAGTCTTGCTCTGTCACCCAGGCTGGAGTGCATTGGTGTGATCTCAGCTCACTGCAACCTCTGCCTCTCAGGTTCAAGTAATTCTCATTTTCATGCCTCAGCCTCCTGAATAGCTGGGAATACAGGCATGCACCACCATGCCCGGCTAATGTATTGTGTTTTTAGTAGAGACGGTGTTTCACCATGTTGGCCAGACTGGTCTTGAACTCCTGGCCTCAAGTGATCTGCCCGCCTCAGCCTTCCAAAGTGCTTGGATTATGGGCGTGAGCCACTATACTTGGCCTTATTTTTTTTTAATGCAATACCGATTTAAACAAATGGTGAAATGTCTGCTTTGAACTTTTGTATATACATTAAGTAAATATATACGAGCATAATCTTTTTCAGTATTTGAGATTTTGCCACTCTTCTAAATTTTTTATATCTTTCCTTATCTAAATTCAATAATCCACACCTGTCACACTTGGTAATTGATGTTTATTAAAGTAAAGTTCATATCGCATAATTCAACTTATTGCATTAAGGTGGCTTAATACTGTAAAACTCATAAAACTCTTAATGTAGTTAGAGTACTGGTAGGCACTCAATCTCTAAGACTGTTTAAAAACCCGTGCTTGCAGTTGTATATCCAAAGGTGCACATGACATATAAAATATTTGAATTAAAATTTCTACAGAATATGTATTTAGAATATGTCATTACTGATCATTTATAGTCATTCATCACTATGTATGTGTGTAACTCACTGCTTATTTTGCTTTTAGAACCTTTTGCCCAGAGTAGCAGCCAAACTTGAGGTCGCCCCAATTTCTGACATCATTGCAATCAAGTCACCTGACACATTTGTGAGAACTATTTATGCAGGTGAGTACTCAAGGAAGATAATTAATCAACATGTTAAATTTTAGTGAAAAGCATAAATTAATCTTGAAGGTAGAATTTTAAATCAAGCCATACAATTGCTTTAGGTGGACCATCTTAAAGGTTTCTGAGGAAAATTTTGGTCTAGAATTGCTGGTGGACCCTTGATATGGCATTCTCTCTGATGGATCGCAAGCACATTGCCTTCCTGCCTGGTCATTCAGTTTGCGGAGTGATATTTTCCTAGTGGTCAATAAAAATTAGATTCACTCTTCAATATATTTTGTAAGTGGCACGTGGATAAGCAAAACTTTAAAAAAAAATAGTATTCTCAGTCTTTGCTGTTTCTACCTCATTTCCATCTGCATTAAGAAATTCATTTCAGCCAGCTGCAGTGACTCACGCATGTAATCCCAGCACTTTGGCAGTCTGAGGTGAGAGGATTATTTGAACTCAGGAGTTCGAGGCTGTCCTAGGCAACATGATAAGACCCCATCTTAAAAAAAAAAAATTAGCTGGACATGGTGGCATGTGTCTGTAGTCAGATACTTGGGAGGCTGAGGTGGGAGGATTGCTTGAGCCAGAAGGTCAAGGCTATAGTGAGTTGTGATCATGCCATAGCATTCTAGCCTGGGCAACAGAGCAAGACCCTTTCTCAGGCAAAAAAAAGAAAAGATATGCATTTCATTGTCTCTTTAGTTGTTTGATGTTTTCCCAAACACAGTGCTCTCTAGTGGGGTTGGAGAAGGCAATGAACTCTTCAGGGTTTTTTTTCCGATTAAAGTTGTATATTTCACTATAAATGGCTAATTCTGAAATCAGACTTTTCCTCTTACGTAATGTTTGTGGGAAAATATTTTGTCATCGTTTAGGTTACTGTTACTGTGATAGCTAATCCAGGGTGTCTCAAATCCTCAAAATCTTGGCTCATCCATGCCTGTTCTTTATGACCCATTGTATTTTCAAGATATTCCTCCTTTAGCTTGCATGGTAGCTACATTCTTATTAGGTTGTTGCAGCTCATAGTTTTGAGTTACTGATTGTATTGTTTTTTGGAGAAGGAAGCTTTGTTCATATTCCTTTTAGGGGTGTAGTGTGCCTTCTTAGTGTGGCTGCCTGTTGCATTTTCCTCTTTCTAGGTGTGGTAGTACTTGTCTTGCTTTTAAAGACATCCAGGATTATACAAATATCTATTGATATGTTTCCACTGTTGTGGTCATTGATATGTTTCTTCACTGTGATGGTTCACTTTTTCTTATACTTAATAAAGTTAGAAAACAACTTGTCAACAGTTATGTCTTGCCTTGTCTATGAAGTAAATTCCAAGCATCAAAGGAATACTAGTTTTGTTGCCTTTTGTTGTTGCTTTTTAAAAATAGATTGCATATTTCAGGAAATGCTGTATGTACAGTGAAGTGTGATGAGAAAGTGAAAGTGTTTTCAGTCCGTGGAACATCTTTTGAAGCTGCAGCAACAAGTGGCGGTAGTGGCAGTTCAGAAAAGGGTGAGTGATCATTTGGAGTTTTTTGGTTTTGTTTCTTATTTTTTTCATAGACGGTATAATAAGAGAGATGACCTCACATCATCTTTGGTACTAGGATAGTTGCTTTGGTAGATCAAGGAAGTAGGAGACAGAGGATCTGTTAATATTAAGCTTTTTTCTCTTGTCACTTATTTCCTATATTTGGGTGATTCAATATAACAGAAGAATGTAATAATAGTAAATGTGTAGAGGGTGTTATGCTTTAACATATACAGTGTCTTATTTAAACCTTATACAAAGAAAGTTATTCCATATTCAGACTCAGAGAATTAAATGTGTTCTCAAGTAATACAACTAATGTGGCAAAGGCTGGAATCTAGTCTTGTTAAGTCTTTCCATAATCAGAGAGAATGAATTAGGAGCATAGAAAATTCACAGTAATTAACAAACTTAAATTTCATGGAATTATATACTTGTGTGTTTTTCTGAAAAATAATTATCGTTGTGGAACTTGAAATCATAGTCATTGTTTTATATGTATTAATGTGTGCAGCATCAAGTACTTCACCAGTAGGAATATCAGAATGGCTTGACCAGAAATTAACAAAAAGTGATCGACCAGAGCTAACAGGTGCCAAAGTGGTAGTATCTGGTGGTAAGTGGAATATTAATCTTAAAATATGTAAACTTAAAATATTTTTTTTTTTTATTATTAGAGGTACACGGATCTTTTTCAAATATAAGACATTGGGAAGTTTCAGGTATTGTTCCCATTTAACCAGTTAGGAAAATGAAGTTATGAGCATAATACAGCTTGGGTTTCTGTTGCATACCTAGTCACTGGCACCAGGGGGAGCATGGTATAAATCTCATCTCCATAGCTTTGCCACTTGGTACCATCTTATTGATGGACTTCTGTGTATTCTGCAGAGTATGGTTGGCTTCTGAATTGTAGACAGAACTGGTTGGAATTTCAGGACTATCTTGTGTATAATTCCTCTCTTTGTTCCACTTGGAAGGATTTCCAGAGTTGGCCATGTCTTCGTGTATAACTCTAAAACGTTTCTTAACATCTAATATAAAAACTGTTAATATTGCATAGGACACACTTATTTTTGTATATCATGCTCCTTGTCTTTAAAAACAATGGTTTTTTATGGCCCACTGACTGACTTTGAAAGCATAAGGACTGCTATGCTTTTTAAATTCTTGCAAACTAAACATCCAACAAAATAATTAAGCTTTCAGACAATCTTCTATTAAAAGTGGCACTGAGAAAAAATAATATTTTGAAATGATGTATCTGACTTGGTTTTTTTTTTTTTTTTGAGACGAAGTTTTGCTCTTGTCGCCCAGGCTGGAGTGCAATGGCATAATCTTGGCTGACCACAACCTCCACCTCCCAAGTTCAAGTGATTCTCCTGCCTCAGCCTCCTGAGTAGTTGGGATTACAGGCATGTGCCATAATGCCCAGCACCTGTAATCCCAGCACTTTGGGAAGCTAAGGCAGGTGGATCACCTGAGGTCAGGAGTTCAACCAGCCTGGCCAACATAGTGAAACCCCATCTCTACTAAAAATACAGAAAATTAGCTGGGCATGGTGGTGGGTACGTATAATCCCAGCTACTCAGGAAGCTGAGGCAGGAGAATCACTTGAACCTGGGAGGCAGAGGTTGCAGTGAGCCGAGATCACGCCATTGCACTCCAACCTGGGTGACAAGAGAAAACTTTGTCTCAAAACAAAAACAAAAACAAAAAAAAGGTCAAGTCAGATATATCATTTCAAAATATTAAATTATTTTTTCTCAGTGGTACTTGGAATAGAAGGCTGTCTGAAAGCTTAATTATTTTGTTTAATTTGTAAGGATTTTAAAAGCATGGCAGTCTTTATATTTTCAAATTCAGTCAGTGGGCCATAAATAAATAAATAAATATAAATAATTTTGTATTTTTAGTAGAGGTGGGGTTTTTCCATGTTGGTCAGGCTGGTCTTGAACTTCTGACTTCAGGTGATCTGCCTGCCTCGGCCTACCAAAGTGCTGGGATTATAGGCATGAGCCACGGCTCCTGGCCCTGAATTGTTTATTCATTTATTTATTCAAGAAATGTATATTGGTTATCTATTCTATGACAGACTTATTGCCAAATGCTGGAGAAGCAGAGATGAAAAGGCAGAATGTTCTTCCTCTCAAGTAGTTAAAAATCCTTGAGATGGATCCCATTCAAATAACTTTATTCAGTCATTCAGAGAAATTTATTGAGCATCTATTATATGTAGAGTTTTGTTTTATGGCAGTTACCAAGATAGATATAGATCCTGAAATTAAAGAGTTTTTATTCTAGTGGGAAAAAAACTCCTATTAATCACACAGTTAGTCAACTAATTAATTATAGTCGTGTTGAATGCTTTATAGAAGTATAAGAGTGTCACAGGAGAGGTCAGTAAAGGTTTTATAGAGGAGGTGACATGCTCAATATGGCAGTTATATAATATGAAAATTTACTTCAGTATATAAAATAGCAAAATTGTTCTAGAATGGATTTGATGTTTGCCTAATTTATTTTTTTCATCTTTTTAAATGAGGTCGAGGCTTGAAGAGTGGAGAGAACTTTAAGTTGTTATATGACTTGGCAGATCAACTACATGCTGCAGGTAAAGTTATTTAGTAGAAAGATGTTCCCTTTCTGTTGGAAATATTTTTTCTTCATTATTTCATTTTTGTGCAAGTCTTTCAACACTACAAATTATTTTACTTTCCAGATTTTCAGTTTTTCTCTCTGAACCAGTTTTTCTTAAGCCTCCAAGTAAATGGCATATAGCACTCAGTGAGGAGGCCTCCTAGTACTTTTTAGTATCTGTGTAACACTCTTACATTTGCCTGATCTTAGTAGTATTTTTTTCTTCATTTTAAAAATAATGAAATGGGCGAGGCACAGTGACGCACACCTTTGGGAGGCTGAGGCAGGAGGATTGCTTGGGCCTTGGAATTCGAGACCAGCCCTAGCAACATAGTGAGACCCCATCACTACAAAAAACATTTTAAAATTACCCAGGCATGCTGGTATATGCTTGTAGTCCCAGTTACTTGAGAGGCCAAGGCAGGAGGATTGCTTGAGCTTGAGAGAGATGGAAGCAGCAGTGCGCTGTGGTCACCCCACTGCATTCCAGCTGGGCCAACAGAGTGAGACCCTGTCTCAAAAGTAATAAAAAGCAAACAAAAAAAATAATGAAATGTTAGTTTTAGTGCCTACTTCAGATTCAGGAATATCATGTTTTTTCATCTTTTATTTGGTAGTCTTAATATAAATCTTACACAAATGGAAATACATTTAAAGTTTTTAAGTTTGTAGTTAAAACTTTAAAATTGTAGTTAATGATTTATAGGTAAGGCAGAACCTATTATTAAAAGTGCATTGATGAGAAGGAAGTGATGTATTTTGAAAAACCAAAAAATATTTAAGCCAGGCATGGTAACATGTGTCTGTAATTGCAGATATTCGGGAGGCTGAGTTAGAAGGATTGCCTGACTCTAGGAGTTTGAGACCAGCCTAGGCAACATAATTGAGACCCTGTCTTGAAAAAAAGTTTTTTAAAAAACATTTGATTATTTTTGAATTATACAATTATTACAATGAATATATATTAAAGTGTCCCAATTCTATCATCTCACCCTGTTTTTAAGATTTTTACATATAACTTTCCAGAGTTTTTCTATAACTTTCTATGGTTTTTCTGTGCGTTTCTATTACATAATATGTGTACCCGTAGACATAGTAATAGTTTTGTCAGAATAAAGGCATGATATTGATACTTTATAATCAGATGGTAGTATTTCAGGGTTTATTTTCATTCATTTTTCCTTTGAACAAGTATTTATTAAGTGTCTGCCATATTCCAGGTACTATTTTAGGTGCCAAGAAAATATCAGTGATCAAAATAAAGATCTCTGTTCTTATGGAAATTGCATTTCTATTTGGATGAGATAGACCTTGTATTAATTTATTTTGGCTACAGTAATAAGTTACTACAAACTTGGTGGCTTAAAGCAACAAAGTTTCTGTCTCACAGCTTTGGAGACCAGACGTGTGTCGAAGTTTTGCAGGGACCATACTCCCTCTGGGAGCTCTAGGAGATAATCTGTTCTTTTCCTGTTCCAGCTTCTGGTAGCTACCCTGATATTCCTGTGTTTGTGGTCACATCCCTACAACCTCTGCCTCTGTCTTCATATTATCTTCTCAGTGGGACTGCATTCAATCTCCTTCTGTGTTCCTCTTATAAAGATACATGCCCGGTGTGGTGACTCACGCCTGTAATCCCAGCATTTTGGGAGGTCAAGTTGGGCTATGCCCTGAGGTCAGCAGTTTGAGACCAGCCTGAGCAACATGGTGAAACCCTGTCTATACCAAAAATTTAAAAATTAGTTGGGCATGGTGGTACACGCCTCTAATCTCAACTACTTGCGAGGCTTAGGCAGGAGAATTGCTTGAACCCAGGAGGGGAGGTTGCAGTGACCAGAGATTGTGCCACTGCATTCCAGTCTAGGCAACAAAAACAAAGTGAGACTCTGTCTCAAAAAAAAAAAAAAAAAAAAAAAAAAGGATACATGTAATAGCATTTAGGGCCCACATAGATAATCCAGGATAAGCTTCTCAAGATCCTTAGCTTTATATCATATCTGCTTCCACTTAGGTAACATTCACAGGTTCTGGGGTTTAGGATGTGAATATATCTTTGGAGGGGCCATTTTCTTGACTACTACAGACATTAATGCAATAAATTAGTAAATAATATAATATGGGCTTGGCGTGATGGCTTACTCCTGTAATCCAGGCACTTTGGAAGGCCAAGGTGGGTGGATCAGTTGAGGTCAGAAGTTTGAGACCAGCCTGGCCAACATGGAGAAACCTGTCTCTACTAAAAAATACAAAAATTTAGCTGGGTGTGGTGGTTCATGCCTGTAGTCCTAGCTACTTGAGAGGCTAAGACATGAGAATCGCTTGAACCTGGGAGGCGGGGGTTGCAGTGGGCAGAAATCATGTCACTGCACCCCAGCCTGGGCAGCAGAGCAAGACTCTGTCTCCAAAAAAAAAAAAAATGTTAGAGGGTCCTAAGTGCTATGGAGACTAATAGAATGGGTAATGGGGGAGAATTGGAGGGGAGGATTGAAGTTTATAATAAGTTAGCCAGATTTGGCTTTAATGAGAAGGAGACATCTGGCTGGGTGTGGTGGCTCACTCCTGAAATCCCAGCCTTTGAGAGGCCAAGGCAGGCAGATCACTTGAGGCCAAGAATTCAAGACCAGCCTGGCCAACATGGTGAAACCCTGCCTCTACTAAAAATACAAAAATTAGCTGGGTGTGTGGCACGTGCCTGTAGTCCTAGCTACTCAGAAGGCTGAGGCAGGAAGATCACTTGAACCTGTGAGGCAGAGCTTGCAGTGAGCTGAGATTGCACCACTGCACTCCAGCCTGGGTGACAGAGTGAGACTCTGCCTGAAAAAAAAAAAGACATCTGAACAAAGGTTTGAAGGAGGTGAGGAAGTGAGCCATGAGGAGATATGGGGGAGACTGTTCCAGACCAGAGCAACCAGTAAGATGCAAAGAGCCTGTCTAAAGCAGGAACCCATCTGGCCTATTTGACGAATAGGAAGGAGGCCAGTGTTGGAAAGGAAAGTGCAAAAGAGAAAGTAGTAAGAGGTAAAATTGGGAGGCAACAGGAGAGCAGGGTCTTATGGGACATTGTAAAGAAATTGCTTTTCTCTGCATGAAATGGGAACCGTTTGAAGGTTTGAGCAGAAGAATAACATGATATAACACATTTTTAAAGGATCACTTTGGCTGCAGTTTTGAGAATAAGCCGTAGTAGTTAAGTACAGTAATAGAGAGGTCAATAGCAGGCTATATCATCCTCTAGCTGAGAGATACTCATAGTTTCGACCATGGTAGTTGCAGTTGATATGGGGAGAAATTGTCAGTTTTGGGTTATATATTTGAAGATAGAGCCATCAGGATTTCCCAACAGATTGGATGTAGATTATGAGAGAAAGTATTTGTCCTGGCGAGTGGTGGGATGGAATTATAATGAGCCGAGTTAAGGAAAATCTCAAGTGAAGCAGTTCCCAGGGAGAGATCAGGAGTTCAATTTTGGGCATATTAACTTTTGAGATGTCTATTAATAGGCATCTGAGTAGACATGTCAGTTAAGCAGTTGATATAGGAATGTGGAGTTCGATGGAGGAGTTTGGGCTACAGATATAAATTTGGGAATCAGTTCATCTGGATAATATTCAAAGCCATAATGACAAATTGCTGGAGGCTCTGTGTTAAAAACTCCAGGGGGCCCAGGCATGGTGACTCATGCCTGCAATCCCAGTACTTTGGGAGGCCAAGGTGGGTGGATCACTGGAGGCCAGGAGTTCGAGACCAGCTTGACCAACATGGCGAAACCCCATCTCTACTAAAAATACAAAAATTAGTCAGGTGTGGTGGTGCACACCTGTAGTCCTAGCTACTTGGGAGGCTGAGGCAGGAGAATTGCTTGAACCCTAGAGGTGGAGGTTGCAGTAAGCCAAGATTGTACCACTGAACTCAAGCCTGGGTGACAGAGTGAGATTCTATCTCAAAAAAAAAAAAAAAAAAAAACTCCAGGGGTATCAAGTGATGGGGTCCCAACACTTTTGTGAGTATTACTTTCAGGAGCTCTTCCTCCGGGTGAAAATTAAAGAAAAATCACCTCATGCTTCTGACAAAGGTAGAGGGAAGGGAACCTTTTTGAAATATGCCAGAGCATTCTGTGTTTAACAAAGTCTGACCTTCTTCAGGAGGAACTGTTTAACCAGAGATTAACTTTCTGGGGCTTTAGCAGAGCCTAACTGACCTGAGGGAAGGTAAATACTCAACTTCAGCCTTTCTAGCCATCCTGTCTCACCTAAGGGAGAGAGAGGAACTGAGAACCATGTGTAAAGTTCGCAGTCTCAATCTGGGCTTATTGAGGCATGAGACCAAGGCCTCACTGTAGTCCTGTAGAATGCTTCCTTTCCCCTAACACCTTACTGCCATGTAATAAATGCTTATTGACAGCACCTCCTTTTACCCATGTTCATCATGTCCAGCTATCAAGAAAATATTGCAAGATACACTAAAAGGCAAAAGACAGTTTGAAGAGAAAGGGAAAGCATCAGAACTAGACGCAGCTGGAATAATCAGACTGGAAATTTAAAACAACTGTGATTAATATGCTACGGTCCCTAACTGATAAAGAGCACGCAAGATGTGCCATATAAGCAGAGGGTAGAAATCCAAGAAAGAAGCAGAAATGCTAGAGATAAAAAATATGGTTGCAGAAATGAAGAATACCTTTTAAGGACTTCTTAGTAGGCTGGACATGGCTGAGGAAAGAATCTCTGAACTCTAGGATATCTCAGTAGAAACTTCCAAAACTGAAAAGCAAAGAGAAAAAGGGCCAGAAAAAGGAAATAAAAACAAAAAACTCTTTAATAGAATATCTAAGAATTGTGGAACAACTACTGAGAATATAACATGCGTAATGGAAATACTAGAAGGAGAAAAGAAAAAGGAACAGAAACAGTATTTGACTGAGGATTTCACCACATTAATGTCAGATACCAATCCACAGATCTAGGAAGCTCAGTGAACACAAAATATGATAAATGCCAGAAAAACTTCACCTAGGCATATCATTTGCACGCTACAGAAGATCAAAGATAAAGAACAAGTAAGCCAGAGGGAAAAATCCACGATACCTATACAAGAGCAAAGATAATAATTGTATCTGCTCTCTTTTCAGAAACCATGCAAGCTAGAAGAGAGTATGGTAAAATGTTGGAAGTGCTGACAGAAAATTGCCCATCAGCCTGGGACTTTATACGCTGTGAAATTATCCTTTAAAAGTGAAAAAGAAATAAAGGCTTTCTCAGACAAAGACTGGCAGAATATTTTGTAGCCAGTTAACTTGCAAGAAATGTTAAAGGAAGATTTTTTAGCATGAAGGAAATGATAGAGGTTAAATACTCCAGTGTATACAAAGCAAGTGAGAGCACTGAATAGGGAATGAGTGAAGGTAAAGTAAGTTTTATTTTTCTTAATTGATCTAATGGGTAACAGTTTATTTAAAATAACAACATCATTGTATTCAATTACATATACTCCTGTATTACAATTACGTATGTGCTCATGTGGAAGTGAGGTGAATCACATATAAGAAACAGGAGATAGGGATTAGGATTATCTTGTTATTAAATGGTACTTGCACCACCTGTGAAGTAGTAGTGTTCTTTGAAAGTGGACTTGGATTAGTTGTAAATGTATATTGCAAACTCTAGGACAACCACTAAAAAAAGCTTTTAAAAAATACAACTAATAGCTAAGAAAAGAGACAAAATGGAATTATTTAAAATGCTCGGTTGATGGAAGACAAAAGTAGGAACAAAGAACAAGGACAACAAATAGAAAACCGTTGCAAATATGGTAGATGTTAATCCAACTGTGTCAGTCATTGCTTTAAACATCAGTAGTCTAAATGCACCAATTAAAGATTGTCATAGTAGATGAAAAAGTAAGACTCAACTATATGTTGTCTACAAGGAACCCACTTTAAATAAAAAAATACATGTACATATACACTTAGATATAATGGAGAGAGATATACTGTGGTGATGCTAATTGAAAGAAAGCAGGAGTAGCTATATTAATTTCAGACAGAGCCAGTTTAAAGTTAAGTTTTATTAGGTAAATAAAACCTGAGTTTTAATAAACTTAAAGTTTTAACTTCTAAAACATATTTTAATAAAACTTAATATAACTTAAGTTTTGCTAGTATTGGGCTCTGTCCAGAAATCGCAGTGTAAGGGTTCTGGAATATGGGAGATGGGCGTAGGTTAGGGAGCAGGCAGAGCATTATAGGGATCAGTGTCTGGGTTATGAAGGATAACTTTTAAGTTTGGGGCAGGATGAAGGGCAGGGTGTGATTAGTCCTGGCTGACTCAAGATAGTGGTGGTGAGACTGTGCATGTTTGTAGGTAGCCAGTTGTATTGTCTCTGGGTCCCTCTGTCCTCTCCAGCTCGAAATGAAGAAGCCTGAGGCTCATTCTTGACTCCTGTTGGGAAGGGGTTGTTTTACTCCAAGTACAGGGTTCATTGTTGACTCCTGTTGAATGAGAATAGAAAGTTAGTTATTTTTTTTTTTTGAGATGGAATCTCATTCTGTCACCAGGCTGGAGTGCAGTGGTGCAATCTCGGCTCACTGCAACCTCCACCTCCTGGGTTCAAGCGATTCTCCTGCCTCAGCTTCCCAAATAGCTGGGATTACAGGCATGTGCCACCATACCCAGCTAATTTTTGTATTTTTGTTAGAGCTTGGGTTTCACCATGTTGGCCAGGATGGTCTCGATCATTTGACTTCGTGATCCGCCCACCTTGGCCTCCCAAAGCGCTGGGATTACAGGCGTGAGCCACTGCACCCAGCCCAATTTTATTTATTAATTTGACAGCAAATATTGGTTAAACCTTCATCTTGTTATATATGACTCTTTATCTTCTCTTTATATTATTACAAGAGGTAGTATTGTAAAACCTTTCTTCAAAACTTGTGAAGTTATTACTTAAAGGAGCATTACATAATGACATTCTAAACATCATAGTGTAAGTTTTATGAATGCCTTTTTGATAACGCAGGCAGAAGAGTTAACCTCAACTTAAAATCTGAAACACTTGGATATAAATAGAAGTTACTCCTAGAAGCTTTCTTTGTAAAATGCACTAGTACTTAGTACATAGAATTCTAAATCAATGTCTTTGTTTACAGTTATCAGTGAATATCCTAACTAGCTGAATAATAAAGCTTGAAAAAAATGACAAATATTTCTTCCCCTTAGTTGGTGCTTCCCGTGCTGCTGTTGATGCTGGCTTTGTTCCCAATGACATGCAAGTTGGACAGACAGGAAAAATAGTAGCACCAGTAAGTATTGCAATAAAATATGCTGTGCAGAATTTTATGGGGATAAGTACTGTATGTATTTGAACAGTGATCTCAGTGATTTATCTTATTCAGTGTTCCTAAGCAGTTAGCCAGTACCATGGCAAATATGTCCTTTTCACAAGGCCTGTGTAGTTCTTGCTCTCAGCAATATGCTTAGCAGTTCTTAAATCCAGCTTATTTTTCAAGCATTTTAAAGCAGTGGAACATTTTATCAAATTAAGTCATATTACAGTAAATAAAACATTTGTAAAAGCAGCATTTTATCAACTCAAAGTTGTAAGTTCACATTGATAACGTTTATTTGCCGTAAAGCCTTTAGAGAGTGTAAAATCAATGAGAACAATGAACCTATTTTAATGAATACAGAATTTTGAAATTGGGAGCTGTGAATGACTGTTTTAGTCTTATATCTTCCTGAATAGTTTATTTCTGTATTTTGTCTAGTAGTATACATTTCAGAAAATTCTGTTCTATATAGGTAAGTGATACTGGAATATTCTTCAGTTAAACCTGTCTAAAACTTAAGGGCAGGACATTTTTGTTTCAAAGTTGAATAATTAAGAGTTTATAATGACTGTTTATATTTCTTTGGTGATACAGCTTTTCAGTGACTAGCAGTCTCAGCCAGTTTAAACTTGTATAGTATACAGGAAAACATTTTTTTAAAATATATTTCAAAACAATATGAAGTCCTTTCCATTAAAAAAAAATCTTACATCTCAATGCTCTATTCTGTGAGATATTCATTCATAAATTTAAGATATTATAGTCAGATTTTTCTAGGCTTATTTTTGAAGTTTGATGTGTTTGTTCAAGTCTTTTGCCTGTTTAAAACGTGAGTTCATCTTTTTATTTTCTCTTTGTAAGAGTTTTTTATATAACCTACATAACAAATTCTTTGTCAGATGTGTGCTGTATTTTTTCCCATGCTAGGGCTTCTTATTCATTTTCTTTTGATGAGTAGAGACTTCTCATTTTGATAGTCTAATGTACCAGTCTTTCTTCTTATGATTAATACGTTTTGTGTTATTCAGCTTACTTGAAGTCAGAAAAGAAGATTTAAAGCTTAAAATACATACTAGAGCTATTCATAAATTTAGTGACAACATCATGCGGCCTGTTTGCTTGTCATATTGAATTAGGCTGTGGGAGTGGATTTATTGAGCAGATGAGCTTGAGCCTTCCGTGACATTTAATTAGCTCTAGCACACACGCGCACACACGCACGCACGCGCGCGCGCACACACACACACGCACACATTTTTTAAGAGACAGGGTCTTGCTATGTTACCAAGGCTGGAGTGCAGGGGTTGGTCACAGGCAAGATCGTAACACATCACCGCCTCTAACTCCTAGCTTCAATTGATCCTCCCAGCTCACCCTCTTGAGTAGCTGGGACTGCAGGTATGTGCTGCCATGCCTGACTGGCACACATGTTATTTGTGGAAATCTTTCCATTTTACATGAGTAGACATCTGTAGGCCTGATTTCATAAAAGATCCGCAGACCCACAACCTTCCTAACCAAAAATATGTCTACAAGAAATTCAGAGATATACACCGAAGTGACAGGGACTTATTTTGATTGACAGAGCACTTGTGGTTATCAAACTGAAGATCAGAGTGGCAGGGAGTGGCTGGTGGTATCCTTTCCTATATTGAAAATAAATGGTGTATAATCAGCATTATTCAGTAATAGTCTCTGAATATAGAACCATCAAAATTTTTTTTCCACAAGGAAATGTATTAAATGCTTTGAAGATTTGAACATAAACTATACAACCCCCAAAAGAATTTTGATTCAGTAGCTCAGCGTGTGTGTATGTATGTATATATGAATCAGTATGTATATATACTTGTATGTACTTATATATGTATATACTTTAATGAATCAGTATATATACGGATTCATTAACTCGGGGGTGTGTACACACAACACACACTTTGTGTATGTATGTACATTTTGTTAAGGCTCTGAAACTTTTTGGAAACTATATCTCAGATTTACAGAAAACTTATATAAGTACAGAACAGAAACCTTTATTTTTATGGGGCATTTGTGTAAGTTGCTGTGATGATCCTCAAATGTGACATTTTTCTAATATAACCATAATACAACTTTTTAAATTAGGACATTAACATTGATACATAGTACCATCTAAGCATCATACCCGGACATTCAGGTTTTGCCTATTATTCCAAAAATGTCTTTTATAACAAAAGGATATAATGTAGTCACATATAATAATTGTCATGTGTCCTTTAATCTCAAATATTAATAGTTCCACAGTCTTACCTTCATGAAGGAATTATGAAGATTACTGTACAGCTGTTTTATAGAATGTCCCTCAATTTGGATTTGTCTGATGTCTTCAATTTAGATTATATTTCTTGAACAGGAATATCACAGAAATGATCTTATCAGATGGTATACAATTTCATTTGGTCTTTCATTAATGATTTTCACTTTAATCCTTTGATTAAGGTAATATGTGCCAGCTTCTCCACTGTTAAGTTACTTTTCCCATTGTAATACATATTTTATGTGGAGGTACTTTGAAATGATGTAAATATTCCAATTTTCCTCAAACTTTTTTTTTGAGACACAGTCTCGCTGTGTCACCCAGGCTGTGTAGTGCAGTGGTGCCATCTTGGCTCAGTGGAACCTCCACCTCCAGGGTGCAAATGATTCTTATGTCTCAGCCTCCTCAGAAGCTTGATTACAGGCACGCACCAACTTGCCTGGCTAATTTTTGTATTGTTAGTAGAGACCAGGTTTCACCATGTTGGCCAGGCTGGTCTGGAACCCCTGGCCTCAAGTGATCTGCCTGCCTCGACCTCCTAAAGTGCTGGGATTACAGATGTGAGTCACCATGCCCAGCCATAAACTTTCAGTTTATTCATTTATTTATATCAATATGGACTTATGGTTCCTATTTTATGCAATTGGTAAAAATCTGTGGTTGTCATTATTATTGATGTACAAATCCCTTGTTTGGCTAGTGAGAGGCCCTCTGTGCCTTTCTGACATGTTGCTATCATTCTTTGAATCCTTTTTTACTTTCTGACAAGACAAGATGTTCCAGGCTCATTTTGTATTTTTCCTATCCCATCTCTGGAACCAGTAATTTCTCCAAGGAATCTTTGTTCCTTTTGCTGAAGAATAGCATTTAGAAGCCAATATCTCAATACTAGTTATGCTTATTGCTGTTGAGATGTCAGTGCCCCCACACATCTCAGTGAAAAAAGCTAGAGAATGTGTGTGGGCATGTGTATGTGCAGGCAAATACATGCATATACATACGTATACAAACACATTTACTTCTGTATTTCTGTCAGTTGTATATATTGAAAACCATAGGTGTACACTGATATCTCCAATTCTTGTCTCACACCACAGGGTTAATTCTAGTTTTCTTCATTCTCCTATTTTATAATGCCTTTCTCCTATGGTGAGAAACCTGGACCCTGCCAATACTCTGCACAGATGCCCTCCTTTCCCCACTCAAGCTCCACCACCGTGAACCGAATAGTCTTCCTGTATAGATACCCTCCGTATTGTACTTGGACTGACACATCTGTCTGGGTAGTTTTTTCCCAAGGTGGTTGTGCAATTTTACACCCATACCAACTACGTATGTGGGTTCTAGTTGCTCCTCCTTTTCGCCATTTGGTGTTTTAGAGATGTTGGTGGATGTTATTAGTTTTAATTTGCCTTTCCCTACAAATTAATCTAATGCTCATCTAATGATGATGAGCACTGTTGTATTACTGGCCATTTACATATCTTTCTTATGAAGTGCCTGTTCAAATCTTTTCCCCTTTTTTAAATTGAATTGCTTGTTTTCATTATTGAGTTGTAGACGTATTTTACATATTCTTGTACAAGTTTCTTGTTAGACGTGGGTTTTACAAATATTTTCTCCCAGTCTGTGGCTTACCTATTTATTTTCCTAATAGTATCAAATTGAGGAAGTTCCCTTCTAATTTGCTGAGAGTTTTCTGAATGTGTGTTGAATTTTGTCAGATATTTTCTTTTCTGTTGAGATGATTGGATAGCTTTTCTTTATTCTGTTAATATGGTGAATTATTTGATTTTCAAATGTTAAACCACCTTGAATTACTGGGATAAATTGTAGTTGATCATGTTATCCTTTTAATATATTTCTGATTTTGATTTGCTCATATTGTATTAAGAATTTTTGAGTCTGTCTTTATCAGGATATTCTGTAATTTTATTTTTAAAATGTCACTGTATAGTTTTGGTATCAGCATTATACTAACTTTGTAAAATGGTTGGAAGGTGTTTCTTCCTGCTTTATTTTCTGAATGAGTTTGTGAAAGATTGTTTTTTTTGTTTTTTTTTTTTTCTTAAATGTTTGATGTAATTTATCAGTGCAGCCATAGAGGCCTGGTGTTTTCTTTCTTGGACTATTTGACAAAGAATGCAGTTTCTTTAATAGATTTAGAGCGATTCAGATTTTCCATTTTACTTTGTGTCAGTTTTGCTAAATGGTACTTTTCAAGAAACTGATCCATTTCCTCTAAATTGTCAAATGTGTTAGATGAAGTTGTTTATGATTTTGCCTTTTCTCTTTTAATTGTCTGTAAGATCTGGAATGATATTTCTTCTTTTTTTCTTATATTATTAGTTTGTGTTTTTTTCTTTTTTTGTTCTCCCCTCTTCATTAGTCTAGGAGTTTATAAAAAGTTTTAAAAAACGTTTTCAGTGTTCCAACTTTAAAAACTAATAGCTTTGGCTGGGCTCAGTGGTTCAAGCCTGTAATCCCAGCACTTTGGGGGGTTGAGCTTTATCGAGATATAATTTACATACCATACAATGCATACTGTTTAAAGTGTTTAACTCAGTGGCTTTTAGGGTGTTCACAGAATTGTACAATCTTTACCTCAATCAGTTTTAAACATTTTTTTTCATCACCCATAAAAGGAAGCCCATACTTATTTTCTTCCCAACTCCCC